TTTTAATATATTGCAATCATCAGTTGGGGATACGAAATCGCCTCGTTCTATGGAGAATTTCACCTTATCCGGGTTCGTTCTGACAATGTACTACTGTATCTATAACGATTCAATGCTAACCGCATCGAATAAACTCTCAGGCAGAGGCGACTTCGGGTGGATCAATTTAAACCTCTACAGACTGTTTTAAAGATTGGTTGCATCGTGTCGAGTTTAACTTTAGACTCTTGAAAGTAAACCCTTTTGGAGATGCGTTGATGGGATGGGTAGTCACCACTGGCAGGAAAAATGACGGTGAAATTATGCTTGTCGAGCAAACGAACATGCTGCCTAAAACCTGTTTGAGGCAAAAGGAAGTGAGCTATCGCAAATATTGAAGAAAAACAACCCTAAAATTTACTGAGTCCAGGGGATATCGTAATGGTCTTATGGTAAGTCAGGTCTAGGAGTATTCCATGAACATGGTCGGAGACTTGCATGCCCTTTTCTTGCTTCTGTCAAAGGCTAAAAAACTCCAGAGGGTGCAGCTTTGACAAGTGACCAGATTCGCTATAGTCGCTCCGGTTTGGAGTTGTAAACTCGATTCTTATTTCATTGGTTTCCAATGTTCTGATAGATGAGCATGCAACTAAATTCGTCTTCATTCGTACATGAAATGTCGAATCAAATACGTTCAGTTTTCTGAAGGTAAAGTACCTAATGCGAAGTTCACCGTGTTTTTTTTTATAGATAACTTCAACAAAAACCAAGGTTTTTTCTTTGTCGTTCTAAGCATGAAAAAAATATTCCGAACTGGAGCATATTGCTCAAGTTCGGTCATGCTTTTCAATGAGGCAAACACCAGCTCTTTCCTACAATGGAAATCGCACTTGAGCAAAAAGAAGAATGCTGCCCTGGCCATTGGTGCGAAAATTTGGAATTTCTCAATTCATAAGAAAATTCATTACGGTCAGAGTTGAAATTGAACTAACTTGAAAGATACCTGGCTGCAACCTGGAACTACGGTCGGTTTTCCGGTTCGTGCTGACTTCATATCCATATCCTTCATTCTACTTGCAAAATCCACCTTAGATACAATTTGGCTAGTTGATAAGTTGATATAAGCTGTAATAAGCACATAGACATCAGACTGTTCAAACGCACATAGTCGCCAATCTCGGGCAATCCCACCCGGGTCGTACCTTTCTTGCACTTACCTCTCCTCATCATAGAGTCCATGCAAAAATAATGGAATGTGTTTCCTATCGGAGCAAGGTCCCCAAGGTAGAGGGGGGAGAGAAGGGGGGGGGGGGGGGCC